GAAGGCGCGACCTTACTCGAGGTCCGTGGCATGCTCCCCCTTTAAAATTTGGAAATTTAGACCCCTCTAAACTCCATTTCATGCATTTTTAGGGGCAAATTTTGCTGACACAAGTGCCGCCGTGCTTTATTTTGTGCCGCCGCCACTGATAAAGTTAGTTAATAAAATAATGTATGAGTCACATTACAATTCAAGAGTACATATTTAACAGCGTGCAACATGTGTGTCAATGATACCCATGAGGTTGCATTTAGATTAACAACCTTATTCGGTAATAAACTAGTATCATTGATTCCGTATTCGATAGGAGTTTTCCTTCCCCACACGTTCACATTAAAAGGAGTAGATTTTATGGAGTGGCGATTATATACAACCATAAAGGCCAGAAGCAAGCGCGATTAAGTTCAATTCCTGGCGTGTGATTTGCAAGGTATACGATAGTGACGTGATTATTTACGTCATGCTTAAATCGTAATTTTATACGTTCGCTGACCTTACCAATACTGGGCCATACAGAACAAAGTGTTAGTTATAACGTAGGAATGTCGATATTTTGCGGAATAAGGATTGGATACTATAAATATGATATAGACAAAAGTCAGCTGGCATACAAGTCAAAATAATATAAATGCGATTAATCTACCAATATTTACTATATGGGACAGCCATCTAGAATACGGTTTAAAATTAAATAATTAGACAAAATTGAAAAACAGGGTTTCCAGTTTCCTACAAATCAGGGGAGATACTGAAATTTCACAGCCAAACGATTTGCTGGAGTAACATTAAGTCTATCGCCAATGAGCTAGCAGATGGTCGAAATAGCAAGGTACACGTATAGCAATTATCAAAGTAAATTAAGTATAGGTTTTCAAGGAGAATTCAAAATGGCATTCTCACCAAAAAATGAAAGAATATTCGCTAAAAATAGAGAATAAATGATATCGTCACGAAATGAACAAATATGATAGAGGTAGTCAAGTGTAACATATCAAAGCAAACCGGATAGTAGTTTTCAAGATGAAAGAACAGCTAATAAAGTTCGACCGCATTCGTCTTTTCGCGCGGAAAGTCGTTTGCATACGAGAACTTCATTTCAACATAGAATACTTTTTTTCGGGGTATTTGAAACCGAAATCATCATCCGACTCAAGAGTCAATCAGCGACGTCTTTATAGTTCTAAAACTTTTGGTATGACTTGGATACGATTGAGTGGTTCTTTTAGGTCACGTGTGGGGTTAATATAAAGTCTGTTTCCGTTTACACTACGATAATGTGAAAATAGGCAAGTCTAACAACATATTGCAATGACCAAACACGTCATACTGCAATATTTACCTAGTTGTCAAGTATTTGACAGACGTATTGGCCAATACGAAATTTGCGACATTTGTGTCAGGATTAATGAATAACCAGACTGTGTGAACATATTGGCATGGAATATTAGATGCAAACTACGGCGCACATTTAAATACGCGCACATAATTACAATTATTTTTACGCCACCAGTTTAAGTGCCTCTATTATTCTGGTAAGATAAAACACGCTCACACTCGACACTATGTATAAATATGTACTCTGATAAATTCATTTATATATTTCTTGCCAAGCTTGATAGTAATACAGTTTAGTATTGACATTGCATTTGCAAAAAGATAATAATTTTGACAAATTGTGTCATGGCGGAATATCAAAATACACGAAAACAGTGTAAAGTAGTAATATACATAGTGTCCTAACTTGTTGCAGTACTTTGATTAACGTGGCAAATTATCTATACATCACAACAATACGTATAGGTACGCTTTAAAACTGGTTTGGACTAAACTACACTGCTGTGGGTAGAATCTAGTAAAAGCTTTATAGGATTCTATTTGCAACAGGATTTTTTTTTTACAAAACAAACTGGTCACATGATGAGACCACTAACCCGAAAACACAATGTGGTTCACTGAATGCGTTGTTATTTGATTATATATTATTTCTGTTATATAATGAAGGAAGACATACGGCATTAAAATAATTGGAATATGTTAATGAGTTCAGAGGTTGGTCAATTTTATCAATATACACATATATGCTACGTTAACGTAGTTACAACAAATACAATTCTACAGGGGCACATTTAGCGTTGTTTTTGTCTATGCACATTCGTGTCAATATATTCTCCGAGTACCAGTACTTGGTAAGTGGTTTGGGTATTTTATTATATCTTATAAGTTCAGTATCATAAACAACACCTGGCCGCATACATATTATGACACGTGGAATATGCTGATTTAAAATGCTTAGTATGGAACACGTATTCGGTTCACGCACGTACGTTTACTTTTACAATTGCATAATTCTAGGAGATCAATTTTAACCATACTATGTTCCGTGAATAAAAAGATGTTTACATTTTACAGTAATATGTAAATTATAGTATTATTTTACCTCTTATTGAAATCATTTATTAAATTATTATGTGTGATATTTTTTTTTCAAATTGGACAACAATATATTCATGAGAACTGAAACAGCCACAAAAAATGTATATATTAGTGAAAACGCGCATACTCTGAAATTGTCACAAATGTAGGGTTAAGCGAAAAGTAAAACGGCAAAATCAGCCGACATTACTGAAGTGTGTCAGTGTGTTGAGACAGGCCCTAGGTCAAAACGCTGATATCGATGTCACTGTGATACGGAAAGTACTTTTTCTAGAAACTGACCGTTCGCATTCGTGGTGTCTGCTGTCTGTCTTGCATCTTCCCCGGAATTAACACCCAGGCGAAGACCCACCACGCGACGATTGGAAATAAGAGAATAACTGCGTCGATATTTCTGCTTCTGGTGGCAGCAGAAGACGAAACCGACACAGCCATCGTGTCACGAATGTCTTTTTAAGAATACTCGGCCGACTTGAACTAGGGTGAACCTAGTTAACGCCATTCCATCAAAGACTATTTTCATTGAACGCTTGAGAAACTAGCAAAGGCTATATTAAAATAGACATAATTCCTCGTGATTTCAGTCATTTGTAAACAAAATTACAGTAACATGTTCCTCACCACACATCCTTATGCTGCGATTTTACATAATTACATAAGTTCGTTTTGGGTTTGCAAACGAGTTTTCGTTCGATATTTTTGGCTGCAAAATCTTCACACATGGATGTACTATACGATAATATAAATATTATTCTGACACAAATAAGCCATGGGTATCATTTTATAACTAAAATATTTTGTATAAATGTCC